AAAGTCATTAGACAAAGTCGGCTTCAGGATGAGATTATGGATTCTCTTATCCGAGAATAAAAGGGTGCTAGTAATAATGAAGATAAAGAGCTCATGTGTTATGCAATACAAGAGAGTATAATGCAACATGAGATCGACAATTATAGAGCAAGCGAGAGAATATTTATATGAAGAGGGTTCTAGTTCGGTTCCGGTTCTAGTTCTAGTTCTAAAAGAGGACAACACCAACAAGCTTCTATCATGCGTCGTTCATAAAATTTGCATGAAAGAGTTGGTTAAAAAAGACTACATGGTGTTGTTCCATCAATTCCTCCATAATCAACTTTAAGGGAACGATTGAAAAAGTTGCAAGAAGATGAAGTGGTTTTGCAAAAGACTGTGGAAGGAAAAACACAAAAGCCAATAAGTTCTCGGTTATATAAAATTAGGAAAGCAACATTAAGAAGAGCGAGTTGGACCTTGTTTTGTTCATGAGAGAATCCCATTCAATGTTGTAGAATCTCCTTGGTTTTTAATAATGCTTAAAGCTGTCGTTGAAGTTGGTTCTAGAATTCCACCTCCTAGTGCTTATGATCTTTCGGAGGTGTATTTGACGGAAGAGATAACAAATATGAAGAAGTACATCAAAGATTATAAAAATATACTGGAATGAGAGAGATGTCACAATCATATGTGATGGATGGTTTGGATCGACTAAAATGCACATCATCAAATTTCTAATTTATTTAAATCGAAACAAGGTGTTCATCAAATCAATTAATGCATCAAATGTGCTAACAAAGGATGCTGACTATTATTTCAAGTTGATGAAGAAAGTGATGGACGAAGTTGGTGAACATAGAGTGGTCCAAATAGTGACTCATAATGAAGTTGTTATGAAAGTCTGTAGGAAAAACGTTATTGCAAGTTTGTCCTCACTTTTATTGGTCAACTTGTTTTGCTCATTGTCCGGATCTAGCTTTAAAAGACATTGGAAAAAAATTGAAGGTCAAAGAAATGCTTAAGAAGGCAAAAAAATTACCTAATTTATTTACAATTATAATTGGGTATTTAATTATATGAAAAAATTTACTAATGGGTGTGACTTACTTCGACCTAGCATCGCTAGATTTGCCCCCAATTCTGTTGCTTTGGAAAGCATTATTAAGTTTAAGAATGCAATCAAGGAGATGTGGGAGTCGAAGCTTGGAATAATTCTAGATATAGAAGGATGAAGGATCGACTTGCTATTGACGTTCGCATATTAGTGCTGTAAGAAGATCCATAAGTAATAAGATTTTGGAAGAAGACGGGTGAAGTAATAGTAATTGAGGAGCCAATTGTAAAGGTTTTTGAATTTATGGATGGTGATGACAAGCCGACTATGGGGTTTATCTATGAAGCATTGCAAAGAGCAAAGTAAAAAATCCAAGTAAGTTGTCGATATTCAAAAACATGGTGTGGCATAATTGATAAACGATGGGAATTTCAATTACATACATATTTACATGCGAGTACGTTAAGTATATAAAGTTATATAAATTAATCATAATAATCTAAAGATATCTTGAATTATTATTTATACTTAAATATCGTCTAGAAGTAATGTTATTTACTCTTTTTTTTGTAGGTTATTTTTTGAATCTCTAATATCATTATGTACTCCGAGAGAATCCAATTTATCAAGTTGAAAAAATCAAGCAAGGTGTTAGAAATGCAATTATGAGATTAGAACTTGACATTGATAAGCAAATCAAAGCCATCAATGAAGTAAATTAAATAATCTTATGAATTGTGATAACATAAAATGCTAAAAATATTTAATATCATATTACATATATTAATGTATAATATTATTAAAATATTTTTTTAATTTAAATATGCGAGTTGGAATTCTATAGCTTGAAATAACAAACATTTGGTTTAACCACAGACTCGGAAGGTTGTGTATTCAAAAAATTTAGGTACTTTATTAATTTATAAAATTTCATACTTGTAAATATTATTGGTGTTATTTTTTTTTTAATTTATGAAATTTTATTTGTTCAATGTAACCAAGTGGTGGAATAGTTATGGAAATGATGCACCAACGCTTAGAAAGATTGCAATGCAAATTTTGAGTCAAATAACTTCTGCTTCAAATTATGAGAGAAATTGGAACACTTTTAGCTTAGTGCATACGAAGATAAGAAATAGGTTGAAGTATAAAAAATTATATACACTTGTTTATCTTCATTACAACATGAAGTCGAGGTTAAGAAATACATTGCGGAAGAGTCATAAATAATTAGAAGAAAGTTTTAATCCAATTAATTTGGATTACATGTTTTATAAAGATGATCCACTTGTCTCCTTGGTTGGAGGAAAATGAATAACCGATCCTTGATGGACAAAATATGGATCGATTGCATGTGCATGATGATGATAGCGATGGTGACGGTAGTGATGATGAAAATGATCAAAACAATTCTAATGATCAAATTAATCCACATGATAGTGATAATGGTGATGATGATAATCAAGACGAGGAACCTAGTGATTTGGGAGCTTCTTATAATAGTAATAGTAGCGAGTAATAATGATGGAGGTCGTGAAAAAGGAATAGCTTTTGATAGCGAGTGTCAATCCAATTCTATATAAGTGCGGGTTACATGGTCCTATTGCACCTAAATTCGATGCTAAAAATAAACCACCAATAGTAAAACAACAACCATCTTGTGGTACCATACTGTATGATCAAGGACATCACTTTGTCTCTTCCAAAGATAGTTTGACTTCTAACTTCAATTATGATCAAGGACAATACTACCACCCACAAGGTCCACAAATATATGGTTATGTATCTTATGATTCATATGGAACTTCATCGGACCGATCTATTTCAAATACGCAATATCCTCAAGAAATTGGATCATCCATCGTCGCTTCATTATTTGGGCAATTGGATTTGGAAGGGCAATATAGTAATGGTTGTGATTTTGATAGACCGAGATTGCAAAATCAATAACAAGATGATAACTATTATTATGATTCTCTATGACGATTTTTTTGGAGATGAATATTTTGTAATGTGTATATTGAAATTATAATGTATTTTATTATTTTTCATGTGATATTAATCTATTGGAAGTGTTATTGATTATTTTTTATAATAAATTTAACTATTTTTATATGTTATTAAACTATTAGATATATTATTACTTATTATTATGTTTAATTAGTAAAGCTGTCAAAAAATGTGAATTAGAATAAATTTATTACCGATTGCTAATGTATTCACACAATTAACTACCGTGACCGTTATTTTATGACCATGAGAAGCCACAACCCGTAATCGCCATCGCGATTGTTTTTTCAACCGCGATCGCTATTTAAAACTATGGGTCGAATAACTTAAACAGTTGATTTTCTAGAATGAATTTAAAACCTTGCATCTGCTTACATTCTTAGGCTTTTATTTTATAGTGCAGTTTATTTCCTAGTAAAACAAGCTCATGGACCTGTTATACCAAGTTATTTTGAGAAAATTACATATGCTCTCCCTTATGCGTTTACTCGTATAAAAGATGCTCAAATGCTTGCCAATCATAAGTAATGACCTCAGTGGTGACCACAGTTATTTCTGGCAAAATAAATCAAATACAGTATGAGTACAGAATTGTCTAGCTAGATGTGTCTAGATCTTATTCAGTTTGTGTTTTTCCCTTGATACTTTGTCCTTGTAATGCATTAGTTTGCTAGGTTGCTAGTTTCAACCTTACTAAAGGTTGGGAACATGGGGCACCAACATTGTGTTTGCCTATTTGCTATTCTGTTTAGTGCCAACAGTTTCTGACAATTTATGTTATTGCTTGTGTTTGCCTCGCATTCAGATTACTGATCCAATTGCAAGATACTATGGGCTGAAGCATGGACAAGTTGTTAAAGATTATCGGGCCAAGTGAAACAGCAGGACGATATGTTACCTATAGATATGTCACATAAATAGTTTATCAGCATAAGGTTAACTCAGATCAGTGTTTGAAACCCGACCTTATGATTGTGGCCATATTGTTTTGATCTCACTTTGCGTCTTTATGAGTTGACAAATTTTCTCTGAATTTGGGATTTCTTTCTATTTCTAATGCTGCTGTCATTCTCAGACTGAAAATCCAATGGCATATTTTTTGAGACTTTTCTCCTTTTCAGATATTGGTTTTAGGAGATTTCTGTGCAGTTCCGGTGTCTCATGAAGTTACTTTGGCTCCTTGGGTATTCCTTCTGAATTGATGGGAGTCCATCCAGCAGATTGTAGTTTAAGCTCAGTACACCTATGGTTTACTTGTTGGTTTCGGATTTCGTATTAGTTCTAGAGTTTGGACCAAAACCATGCTTGTAGTTAGGAAAGAAACCTGCTGTCCAACAATAATCAGGCTGTAACATGTGCACATAAGAGGTCACCCGTTCGCCTTTGACTCCGCTCCAGTGGGCAAGCACCTGAAGAAAAAGCAAACGTTTATGAAGACAATCAAATTCTTTGAATTAAGGCTTGAAGTGGTTAACTTGGCAAGCAAATTATGTATAAAGAAGCATTGGTTTGGTTTGGTTTATTCTTAATTTTGATGTAATAATAATCTAAACAAGCAAGCCATTTCTTAATAATTAATCTCAATAAATTAATATTGAATAGTCCGACTAGAGAGAGATGAATTGCTTAGAGGTTAGAGAGAGCCACAGTTGGGTATTTTAGAAACAAAAAGAAAGGGATAGCCCATTGGGCTTTGGAGCCTTAGTGAAAAGCAAAACCTGAAGGAGGCCATGGCCATTGGATAATTAAAAAGAAAAGAAGAAAGAAATCCAAAATTCGAGCATGGACACATAAGACAAAAGCAACAATGATAATGATTCTGATTCTGATTCAGAATAATTAGGGTTGTGTTTCTGTTATTTTGCTTTGATTCTCATCTCTTCCTCCTCCTCTTCTTGTACCTGGTTACTCACACAGAGTCTGTCTGTTAGTGAGAGATAGATTAGGGAGAGAAATGAAGCTTAAGCAATTAGAAAGCATGTTGGGTGAGCTTCAACAGTTCTCCAATCCAAAGGTACCTTACCTCCCTCTCCCTCTTTTTCTGAAATAGAACAGAACAACAGTGAATGAATTAACGAATTTTATATTTTTTTATGATTATAAAGTAATATAATTGTCTGCTTCAGGTAGAGCTTGAACAGTACCCAACCGGACCTCACATTGCTTCTCGCATGCTCTACGCTGTAATCACTCACCTTTTTTTTTTTTTTTTTTTTTTTTTATAGTATAGAAAAGAAGAAAGAGTTATTGATGCGTAATTATGTGATTTATAATTGAACAGGCAGAGAATTCGTTTGGGGATGTTAGCAACAAGGTAGTTGCCGATTTTGGTTGCGGGTGCGGCACATTGGGTGCTGCAGCTTCTCTTATGGGTGCAGAGTGAGTTGCATCCTTCTTTATGTCTCTCTCCCTCCTTTTTTTTTTTTTTTTATTCAATTAAAAAAGAAATGAATTCAAGACGTATGATGATGATGATGATGATGATGATGATTTAATCTACTTAAATCTTAATTTTGATTTCTCTGAAAGTTGTTGCTTTTGAGGATTTTCTATGTGAAGGGTTTTCCTTTGATCTCTTATTGCTATTTATAATTTTGGAACAGACAGGTTATTGGCATTGATATTGATTCTCAATCTCTTGAGATAGCATCTCTAAACGCAGAGGATCTTGAGGTTGATGTTTTGTGCTATTCATTGCTTTAGATGGCTTGATATAGTTGGCTGGCTATTTCATAATTTATTCTAGTAAGATTTTTTTAGAGGAAAAGACAGTTAACATCTGTGTGTTAGTTGAAGTTCTGATTTATTTGAGATGGATTATTTAATGTAATTGTGCATTGTCGGCTGTTAACTGATGTTGTTTTGTTAAATGCTGAAACCTGCAGTTGGACATAAACTTCATTCAATGTGATATCAGGAACTTAGTATGGAGAGGTAACAAAATGAGTGCTTCATGTTCTAATGGACAACTTTTCCACCTCTAGAGTAGTCGAAGAAAAAAAATGGTTTTCATTGATTTTCTGTCTCACATATTTTCACTTGTCATTTGCATTCCACTCTGCAGTCATACCCACATCTAAGGGGCTCAATCTCTTGTTTAGGTCCTATTGTTGATACTGTTGTGATGAATCCTCCATTTGGAACCCGGAGGAAAGGTGCTGACATGGATTTTCTTTCAGCTGCATTAAAGGTATATATGGGGATTGATTTCTGTATACCCTTGTGTGATCTAGTCTTTATATGAACTTTCTTTTTTCCTCTGGATCTTAATAACGTGGGTGCCATTTACTTTTTTCCTTTACCTGTCAGATTGCTTTTCAAGCAGTGTATTCATTACACAAGACCTCAACAAGAGAGGTAAGTGGCTTCTTTTGATGGTTCTAGGGTCCAGCAGTATAATGGAAATTTTTCTTTTGCCCCTTGCGCCAATAATTTAGATTAACAAGTCACTAAATAGTGGATTTCTTGTATATTAGAAGTATCTAAAAGCGATCTATTTTCATGATACAAACTGGTGTTCTTTAAACTAGAGCATTATCGAGCAAAATGGAATAGCTTGCTTTATCTAATTATTGCAAATACATTCTTGTTATTTTCTCTTAAATGTTTGTTCCAGACATGTTCTATCACTAACTGGTTCATTTTCAAAACCCATTGACTTGTGTTGAGCATTGAACCCAAGGCATTGTCAGGCGCCTCAAAGTAATGTGCCAAATGTGGATGCTGTTGCTAATTTAAGACCTGTTTATCTGACCTTTACTGCAAAAAGTCATCTTGAAAATATCTTTAGATCGTGTGATTTACCTCCTTATGTCGAAAAATTTATTGACACAAGTCCAGTGATTATATTGGTTAGAAATCCACACTATATATCTGATTAGGTCAGGAGACCAATATAATCACCGGATTTGCGATTTTTCATCTAGTTGACTATATTTCTTGACACATTTATAACTGGCTGTATCTTTAGGTTTCTAACATAGAGTAGCATGGTTGTACCCCCAGGATTCTAGGCTTAGTTGCCCCATTTTGCATTTGATGTACATTTAAGATCAATTGTTCCCTATTAATTGGCCACAGCATTTTTGTCTACATTGATGCAAGGCATGGCTTTCTGGCCACATTAACTAGCTCTTATGTAAGTATTTTTGTTGTGATAACCAGATGGTTTTTTATTTTTTATCTTTTTGTCATTGCAGCATGTGAAAAAGGCAGCCTTGCGAGACTTTGGAGCTAGCAGTGCAGAGGTTTTATGTGAGGTTGGTAAAGGAAGCTTCACAGCTGCTTGTTTAATATTCAGTTTTCAGGGAGCATGTTATGGTTGTGGAAAATGATGTGGATTTAAGAATGCTTTTTGCTTTAAGTATCTATTAACTTCGCATCCGTAACCTTTTTTTTTACAGCTTCGGTTTGATGTACCTCAGTTATACAAATTTCACAAGAAAAGGGAGGTGGATGTCGCTGTAGATCTCTGGCGGTTTGCACCCAAAACTAACCAGGGAAACAGTACTTAATACTGTATCGAGTAATCAGGGAAATGATACTTAATGTTCCATCAACATTATGCAGAAGGGGAAACACCATGTAGTGGATCATGATGAATGTAAAAATAGGATGTAATTCTGGACAGCAATTTTGAATAGAATTCTCGGGGAAAATGCAATTTGATGTAGTCAAGAATTTTGAAGGGCAAACCATTTGATTTTGAATGAAGCAACTTGAAAATGGTATTGAGTTTTTCTGCTTGAAAAGGCAGTGATGTGAATCGACTACTCCGCATGCCTACCCGAAGTCCTTCGGGGTTCTGGCCTCTGGGAGTGGAAGTGGATACGGTCCAAAAAAGAGCAACTAGAAATATTTGGCCCAGGGACTGACGCGATCTAGCAAAGTTGAGATCTCTAGCAAAGTGGAGGTTGCCAAATCTAAGTACAGCACTGTTTTTGAAACCCACTAATCTTAATCCTTTTAATAGGTAAGATAAAATAGAAGTACAGCAATAATAATAATAATAATAATAAATTAGAAGTATGGCTACTGCCTTTTTTTTTTTTTTTTTTCCCTGGGGAAAAAAGAATTACTGCACGTGTTGGTTTGAAGCATATGAATTAATAAATAAACCCCCCTTGTTTGCCGAGATGTGGAGTCTTGTTTCGTGTACTTGTGCTTGTTTTAGAGATTTGATATGATCTAGGAGCGAGCAAGGATAAAGAACAATTTTACAAGAACAATCTCTACATAATTAAAATGGAGAAGAAAGAACAATGTTTACCATAAATTTGTAACTTCTCAAGGAAACATGTCCGATTATATTTAACGTTTTACCATTAATGAGTTCAATGATTAAGTAAGAGAAATAAATATTAAAGAATTAAGTTATTTTTATTTTTATCATACATTAAATCAGAATCAATTTGAATTCAACAATTTAAATTTAATGAATACGACTACCTAAAAGGATCTCAATCTAGAAAATTAGTAAAAATTGATCACATTACTAATAAAACCCTAAATTTAAATAATAAACATTAGAGAAATATTCCATTACATGAATCCTTTTTTTCCTAAGCTTCTGATCCTCTTTTCCCTATAATAATAATAATAAAAAAAAGGAAAATAAAAAGCTATATATACTTCGAGATTTCATCTTCCTTGCTTGATTTAATAGCAAAACACAGTCAAGCATGAGTGTTTGTTTCTCCTCCTCCTCCTCCTCTTCTTTTTCTTCTGCACTTGATATCCCATGAATTCACCATAGTCCCCGTTCCACCACTTAGCACCACCGACAGACTTTATGTAACCAGTCCACATTGCTGCATCTAAACTTAGGATTCCCTTCTATTTCAAACCCTTGGAAACCTGAATAGAAGTCGATGCTGAGAATCCAACAGGATTGTCATATCGACGATCATCGCCATAATCTTAGAAGCACTCCGTATCATATACGACTTCCTTTTCAATCTCTTGCTCAATCTTCCTCTCTATTATATTGTCTTTGAACAATGAACGAAGGTTGCACTGAACATTTCCTATTAGCAAGTTCGGAAAGTACTTTCGTGCTTGGTAAATCTTAAACTACACAGTCGTGTTCCTGCCATGAGCAAAGTTGTCTGAGATAGAGAAAACGAACTTCTCTTGTCACATAGGTTTTAAGCCATCAGTAGTATTTTTGGAAATCCTAGTTTGAAGCTTTTATCTTGGTGGACTTAGAACGAGAGGGAGAGAGAGACTGACAGAGGTTGAAAAGAATTCTCTATTCTGTATTTCATTAGGATTTTACGTAATCCTTTCATATGTTTATGGATTTTGCGTAATCCTTTCATATGTTTATAAAGGATAAGGTATAAGTGTACAAGAGTTCCTATCTACTTACAATTCTTATCTAATCTATTAACAGATCACTCTAGGAGAAGTTGTAGGTGTAGAGGAGTTTGTTGTAGTGGAAGTCGTGGGTGCAATGGAGTCTGGTTCTGTTGCATACGTCGTGGGTGCAGTGGAGACTGGTTCTGTTGCAGAGTCCTTAGCAAACTCATGCGGCTCATGCGGAATGGATTGCCTTAACACTCCCTCATAAACAAATAGTGGCCGACTAGTTTGTCTCCGAAAAATGTAAACCTGTTTGTGGATAAAGGTTTTGTTAATATGTCAGCAACCTGATCCGGTGTAGAGATAAACTTGACTTATAGACTCCCCTAGCTACCATATCTTTGACAAAGTAGAAGTCTATTTCCACATGTTTTGTATGTGCATGAAAAACAAGATTGATCTGCTAAATATGTAGCTCCAATGTTATCACACCATATAATTGGTTTAGTTGTTGGACGGGAACCTAACTCTCCCAATAAGCTATAATCCAAGTGAGTTCGATGCCAAGTCAACTATAGCTTTGTACTCTACCTTCATAGAGCTACGTGCCACTATTTTTTACTTGTTGGACTTCCAATTGATAAGGTTCGACTCAAGGAATACCGCATATCCACTAGTGAATTTCCTATCATTGAGTGAACCAACCTAGTTCGAATCTAAAAACCCTATAAGTAATTGAGATGTGAGTGTTTGATATGTAGACCTTTAGGTAGCGTTAGAATACGTTTAACGATAATCTAGTGAGTTAATTGTAGGTTGTGCATAAACCGATAGACTTTGTTAATCGAACAAGCAATATATGGTCTAGTCAAGGTGGCTTATTGAAGTGCACTTACCACTTGTCTATATAAAGTCGGACCGTCAAAGACCGAACTTTGATCTTTTTGTAGTTTAGTTGTGGTCGGCTTAGGAGATGAGACAGTCCGTAAGTTAAAATACCTTGTTTAGAGAGGAGATCATGAATGTATTTTTACTGCGAGGATCATTCTTTCCTTAGTCAATACCACCTCAACTCCTAAGAAGAAGTTGATTTCTCTTAGATCACGGATGGCAAGCCGAGTGTTGAGGGCATGGATGATCGATTGTAGGAATTTGGTGTTGTTGGCGGTGATTAGGATATCATCGACATAGACTAAACGAAAAACTTTATAACCCCGCATCCGATATATAAACAAGGAAGAATTTGTTTTAGAACCCATAAAGCCAAAGGGTACTAAAAAATCATGAAGACAGGAGAACCGAGCCCTTGGTGATCTGGTTGAGCCCATAAAGGGATTTATGTAGCTTACAAACATAATCGAGGTACCGAGGGTCAATAAAGCCCATTGGTTGAGCAATAAAGACCGATTCATAAAGCTTACCATTGAGAAAGACATTATGGACGTCGAACCGCTTGATGGGCCACCCTTGCGATACTACCGGACTTAAGAATATCTTAATGGTAATGGGTTTAACTACCGAGTTAAATGTTTCATCAAAGTCCACATCTTCCTGCTCGATGGTACTATTTAACTATTAACCTAGCTTTATATCTTTCAAGATTGCCATCTCGCGTATTTCTTAGTCTTGAACAACCATTTATTGCCGGATGTTCATAGATGGATCCGATGGCACTAAGGACCAAATGTTGGTTTTTAACGAGTGCATTCAATTCATCTTCCATGGTAGTTCTCCATTCTAGAAATTGTTTAGCCTTAGAATAACAAGTGGGATTTTTAGGAACTTGTTTACCATTCATAGCTAAGATAGCAGTTGACGAGGGCTTCGAGCTCATATTGCGAAGGACCATGGAATGTGTCATTTGAGGTTTAACAGTGGGTATTGGTGCGATGCTATGAGGTCGATCCAAGTCATAGTCGGTGAAATCGAGTATTAAATTTAAACTAGGGGAAGGGGTTTCGGTTTGGGTAGGTAGGATAAATGGGTGGTGTTAATGGATAATTGGTGAGGTATTGGTGGAGTCGGGCTTGGATTATGATGGGTCGGGTCTTGAATTTGGTGGAAGAGTTGGGCTTTATTGGTTTGGTGAAGTGTTTGGGCTATAGTCATAGTTGGCCGAATGGGCCCAATAAGAGGACCTAAGTGATGCCGACTTACAAATAAGTTTTTATCAATAACAAGTGGGGCGTGAATTGGGAGACCGGCCCAAGGAGATGGAAATTTGATTTTTGTGCACCGAGATGAAGATTTTTCATTTTTGAAAAAAGGAAAAATATTTTCAATAAATTTGAAATGATAGGCAATGTAAAACTATTTAGTTTGTGGATCATAACAACAATAGCCCAAGTGAGATGGACTATAACCTAAGAAAGCACATGGGATAGACCTAAAATCCATTTTATGTTTATTATAGGGGCATAAGAAAGGACATCATAAACACCCAAGGAAAGAATAATTAGGGACTTTTTTAAACAAAATTTCAAACGTAGATTGGTTTTTAATAATTGGGGTTGGCATCCTATTAATAAGATAAAATGCGGTTTCAAAAGCATGATGCCAAAAATGTCTTGAGTCTAGGCCTCACCCATAAGGGTTAGGCTCGTTTCCACAATATGATGGTGACGTCGTTCTAAGATCCCATTTTGTTCATGAGTGTGGAGACACATAATGCGATGTATTATTCCTATTGACTTAAAAAATTTATTTAGATTTCAAAATTCACCACCCTAATCTGTTTGAATTTGTTTAATTTTAACACTAAATTAGTGTTTAACCATTTTTTGAAATTGTAAAAAAGTGTTAAAGACCTTAAATTGTTTTTATTCAATAGAAAATACCAAATATAATTTGAATAATGATCAATAAAAGTAATATAGTACTTATATCTATCAATTGAAGCGAGTGGGAGAAGGCCCCCAAGCATCATTAAAAATTAAATAAAAAATACCAAGTACTAGAATTTTTGGATGAATGTAACGATAAACGGCTTGCTTTCCCTAATGGACAAGACAAGCATGAACTTTACAGCTTTGAAGAAGCAAATAACACATTTTTATTTTTTTATTTTTAAAAAGGCTTAGTACTCGTTATGGGGATGACCCAATATGAAGTGCCAAGTGTTTACAAAGACTTTGACTAAAAAGCTTGAGGACCTAGATTGTTTGAAAAAGACAAACCGTAGAGATTAGCATCACTTAGGCTTGAAAGCAAA